TATAATATAATTAAAATCATAAAATATATAAATATAATAAATGATTATATAATTGACATAAATTTATCAAGATTACCTTAATAATTAATAAAATCTTTTAAAGAAATAAATACAGAAATATAAGTTCTGATTAAAAAGAAATTACTTCATTTAATAAAATAAAATGCTAATCTTATTTTTAACAATATCAATCAATATATCATATTTATTTTTATAAATGATTTTTTTTTCTAATCTAATAAACTATAAACTTAATAAATATATGATTAATAAATATTTACCTGCTGTATCAAATAATCCTAAAGTATATGGTTCACCACCAATCATAACAGTTACAGCATAATTGTCGAATACTGTTGGAACATATTCGGATGGAAACTTATTGGTAGTATATGAAATCAACAGACATGTTTTACCTACTGCACCATCTCCAACTACAACGCATTTAATAGTCTGCATTTTTTCTATTTCCTTCGAATATTCCTGTGCAGAAAAAAAAATATAACATGCTACTAAAAGTATACATGTATTTTGTACATAAACTTTCTTATACAAATATTGATATCAATCAACAATATAAAATTATGTTTTATAATATTTGATTTAATTCAATATAATTAAATTTTATCATTTTTTGTCATGTTCCATTATATTCCGTCCAATTACGTTCCTTAATGTATATTTTATTAAATAAATGGAAATATATTTTGAATTTCAAAGGTTACATTTGTCAAGCAAATAAAAAAGAAATATTTATACAACAAATGAAAAAAATAATGATCGTTAATATTCAATAAGTCAATGTAATTACAGAGATAGATTTGTGATGAAATAATTGTTTTTCAGATCGCCATTTTTGGTATTTTGTCAAATCTATCAGCTTCTATTTCGATAAATTATTATTCGAATGTATAATCAAATATATTCAATGATATGTTTCATAATTTAATCCATAATAAAATGTAAATTACATTTAAAAAAGGAGAAAATATACATGAAATTTGACTAAAACACTCACAAGTAACTGGGCGTCGACAACACACTTTACTGTCACAAATTTTTCAAACAAATATAGAAAGCCAACGATCAACGATTCATTATTTCGAAGACATAGAGTCAACTGCCATCTAGGATATTTTAGCCTACTAAAAATGAGTTATTTTTGCAGTTTCATCGATACTATATAATTTATTAAGATAATGTATTAAAAATAATTTTGTTTATCGACTAATTTATTTTATTCAAATTAAAAAAAATAAATAAAGAATAATATAAAATATTTAAAAAATATAATTTATATATTATGGTTAAAAATTTATAAAATATTTTTATTATTCAAAGTCTCTTTTTAATATTAATTTATGATTTATATATTTGCATTAAATATTAAAATATAAT